GAGAAATTTTTTTACCCATTTTGCTCTCTTGAATACAAAAATCAGCGCATCGCTCTAGATCACCTTGTGTATTTGCGCTGATGTGGCGTCTTGGTAGCGTAGTGATGGAGGGAAAACTAGGTTACTTGGCAGGAAACGCGTGGCTAGCTACTTCTAATAAGCAAGCGAATCAGGCGGCACCTTTGAAGGGAGAGACTCGCGAACACATACAGGACGGCATGCATAGCGGTGGCAATGATGTTGCAGGTGTTCGGGTTGATCACCAGCAGTTTCCGCAATTGTTGCTGAGCGGGACTCAATGTTGGCATGCATATGGCCACTAGATTGAACCCGGTGAAGCTCATATTAGATCTACGGCTCAATTCCTTGGATCCTTGTGCCTAGTCCGGGTCAGCCAGTTAGGGTTTTTCCAACGCACCACGTACGGTGGCGTGTTGTCTCAACATTCACCTATGCGTCCAGTTCCGTTCCATGTCACGCAAAATAATGATCTACAGACGTTTATAGTAGCTTGCACGCAGAATAAAAGTGAATGTTGGCGGGTGTATCGGTATCGTAGAGAGAGAAGCATTTGAGAGGAGAGAGATGGAGAAAAACTGGTACTTTGCATTCTCTTTTGGCTCGAAAGAGAGTGACATGACCACAAGTGATTAGATATGTAAGGGTATTGATGAAGTCCCATTTTTTCTTGTATGTGTGAATACAATTTTACTCTGGGGCTAACAATTATTTAGGTGTATGTTGCCGTCGCTGTTATAAGGAACACGTGATGTTCTATCGGCGTGCACACCCATGGGAACCAACGATGTTTTTGGTCATGGCCTTGTGGCGGCCTTTTTTCCTTTGTGTCAATGCCTTGACTCTCTTCTTGTAGTTGTGCCGATGCGATCAAGTTCTTGTTTCCTAAATCCTTGTATTATGTTTTAATGATAAATATAAGTTTTGAGTATTCCCTTTTTTTAAAAACCGGCAGCTCCTAATGTTTTCTAAAGAAAATGAAACCAGCGCGTAACATTATCTCTGACCATTTTACCTGTGGTTCTAGGCATATCAATTTTCGACCATCAGCCTGTTCGCTGGTTGGTTTCGGACCGATAAGTCCGGCTGGTGCTGATTTATTGTGAGAGAAAAACATTTTTGGATGGCTGATAAATCCTGGACTAAAACCAAACAAGAGAACAGGCTGCATATCTATTTGCAGCTAAAATGTGTGAAATCCCTATAAAACCTTGTTTAGTTCCTCCAAACTTCTAAAAAATACACTATACAAAAAGAAGATTTCCGATCACATTAAATTTGCGGTACATGCATGGAGTACTAAATGTAGACGAAATCAAAAACTAATTATACAGTTTGCTTTAACTTTGCGAGACGAACCTTTTGAGCCTAATTAGTCAATGTTTGGACAATAATTCATAAATACAAACAAAATGCTACAGTAGGGAATCTTCACTATGCAAAGTTTGCCTGCGCAAATTTTGCCCAACTAAACACCCCCTAAGTTAAAGCAAACTAGACAGGCTTTCGTATGTTTAGAACACATGATTTTTTTTCTTGTTTCTATGTTTTTGTTGTGAAAATAAACTGATATCTGCGAAATTCCTACATGATCTATGTCAAATTTCTATGTTCCAAACAAATCCTTACACTTCCCTCTGTTTTCCAATACTTCACACCCATGAGACCATGACTAGAGAACGCAAACTAACGTATTGTCTTATTGAAAATTACTATAATGGCCTTTAGCTCTACTAAAAGTTTCTTATAACCAAGCACAGGCTATATGTGGCTATCAAAGGGCAAAGTTTGAAAAACAGACCTTAGTAACAAGTTTTATTAAAAAAAAGACAATGGTGAAAATTGAGGGAAGTTTTACCATATGAGTATATTATAGCGTAGGATTTTTCCATATGGGTAATACTTTTGAAAGTTGATGGTAAAAGCTTTGCCTTTCATTTTAGATGAAGAACCAAAGGGCTTGTTTAGTTCATGACCACAACTTACAATATCATAGGTTAGTCATGTTGTAGTTTTTTGGACAGTTGTTTGGTTCACAACTGCAACTATAGCGCGACACACTTTCTCAGCACCCTGTCCTATATGTCATAAATACATTTTCTTGCCAAATTTTACCACAAGTATAGCTTTGGTTTTGCTCACCACACCTTTTGTGGCAGTCATAATTTATCTAAGGTTAGACGTGACAAACTACGCCACCCACCAAACATCGCCAAATCTCAGGGCACAACTAGCCAATCGGTCATGAACAGTCGAGGGCGCACCATAGGCACCCGGGAACAGAAAGACCCCCTGCAAAACTGTACACAAGGCGGATCACATCATAGGTACGTTCTCCTTGCTATTGAATTTTATATGGGCTGGATGATTTGTATACACAGAGATGTCGTGGGACCATGGAAGTATGCCGCTACACGGAATGGTCAACTACATCGGCCGGAAACGTATTGAAAAAGTTCAATAAGAGAATTCTTCAAAATATCTTCTTACGGGTTAAAACCGTGAAACATACTTACTGCTTTCTATAAAAATAGGGTTTACCTCTGTAAAAGAAAAACATAGTATCTAGAAACATAATCTCTCCATTCCAAATAATAAATCGCTTTGACTTATGTCGGCTAAGCTCTAAACAGAAGCTCTTTCTTTTCTATTCTAGCCTCTCTCTTCTGAGTACATGATGATGTACGAAATATATTGATCTCTCTCAGTAGGGAGGTGAAGTAAACACTTGTGTTTAGGTGTTGTTTGGTTTGGCATTTTAGGTCACAACGCTACCCTTTTATTTTTGCGTCACTTTGTGTTTGGTTGGGTCGGACTGTAATCATCTGTGGAAAGACAATCCCGCTTCCCTCTGGGTGTTAAGCGATTCCGTTGCCGCTCCTCTCGGCTCTGTGAAGTACGTTAGCAACCAAACAAAAGTTGTTCTCCTTTACGAACAGTGTGACAGATACCACCGCTTACTGATTGCATTAATGTTGCTCTTGCCAGCACTGAACTAAACAAACACGTCAGTGACTTACAAATACAAATTTATAATAAAAGATGCTAAATGTTTGGACGGGAAACAAGGCTACCTAAAATAGTCAAATCCTATGCAATTCCGCTCGGTTTCGCCTTGCTTTCCTGAGCAAGCCAGATTAGCTCACCTGGATGCCAATTCTCGATGCTTGCGCTTGGAGTCACGGGCGTGAGTTTGGCGGTCGGGGCCGCGTGGTCGCGGAGCTCGAGGCGGCGACGCCGAGTGTAGACTTCTGGCTCTCCGGGCCCGAATTAGTAGTACGAGCAATCGGAGGTTCATCGTAGATGCATCATCTGGTGATCCTAGGCGAGGTAAGCATGATCAGGAACAAAGCATGAAAGCAGCCAGAAAATACTACCGTGAGGGCTGAAGCCTCAGTTTTAGGCTCTATCTGGATACACAGTATTTTTTTTTGAGTTTAAAAAAAAATACTATGGCTTTATAAAACACTTTGATTTTAGAGTGTTATGAAATGTTTGGGTGCAACAAACTTTATGTTTTTTAATATCATGATGTAGTCTTTTGGAGTTTTAAAAACTCCACTCTAGATCTATTTTTTAAACTACGGTTGTGTATATCAATGGTTCTAAAACTATAGTTTCAAAATATCTTCTTACGATACTATGGTTTCTTAATATAATCCCTCCGTTCTAAATAATAAGTCGCTTTGACTTATGTCAGAAGAAGCTCTTCTTTCTTCTTTTCTATGTCTAGCCTCTCTTTCTGAGTTTTAGGTGTTGTTTGGTTTGGCATTTTAGGTCACAACGCTACTTTTTTTTTTGCGTCACTTTGTGTTTGGTTGGGTCGGACTGTAATCATCTGTGGAAAGACAGTCCCGCTTCCCTCTGGGTGTTAAGCGATTCCGTTGCCGCTCCTCTCGGCTCTGTGAAGTACGTTAGCAACCAAACAAAAGTTGTTCTCCTTTACGAACAGTGTGACAGATACCACCGCTTACTGATTGCATTAATGTTGCTCTTGCCAGCACTGAACTAAACAAACACGTTAGTGACTTACAAATACAAATTTATAATAAAAGATGCTAAATGTTTGGACGGGAAACAAGGCTACCTAAAATAGTCAAATCCTATGCAATTCCGCTCGGTTTCGCCTTGCTTTCCTGAGCAAGCCAGATTAGCTCACCTGGATGCCAATTCTCGATGCTTGCGCTAGCTAGGCGAGGTAAGCATGATCAGGAACAAAGCATGAAAGCAGCCAGAAAATACTACCGTGAGGGCTGAAGCCTCAGTTTTAGGCTCTATCTGGATACACAGTATTTTTTTTTGAGTTAAAAAAAAATACTATGATTTTATAAAACACTTTGATTTTAGAGTGTCATGAAATGTTTGGGTGCAACAAACTTTATGTTTTTGAATATCATGATGTAGTCTTTTGGAGTTTTAAAAACTCCACTCTAAATCTATTTTTTTTAAACTATGGTTGTGTATATCAATGGTTTTAAAACTATAGTTTCCTGATACTATGGTTTCTTAATATTAAGGGCCTGTTTGGCAGTGTTCCTCAAGCAGCTGAGCTGAAAAACCCCCACAGCAAGGAGCCGCCGCTTCGTTTTGAGGCTTCTCCCTCTGCAGCAAAAACTGGCTCCGGCTCTTGACCGGCTCCCTATGCGGAGCCCTTTCCAAAACAGACGTTTAACACAGCTCCTGCAGGAGCCGGAGCTGAAGCCCCGCTAAAGTAGCTCTAAAACAAAGCCTTAACTTTGCTGAGCGCTGAGGCCTCAGTTTTAACTTGTAAAACAGGCACAGAAAAGGGGTTCTTATGTAAGAATGCCACCTCTCATGCTCACCTTGATCTTGCGCCGCCCATGTCCGATCGGACGGTTCGCCTCCTCGATCCGAGCCACCTCTATACCGCCTTTGGCAGCCGTCTGCCTGTGTGACTGCGTCCCTTCCTAAACCCTGTGCCACTCACGGGTCACGGTCCTAGCGCCGCCGCGAGACGAGACATGGCGGCCGCGTTCCTGCCGGAGACGGCGCCTCGGCTGCTGACGCCGGAGACGCTCCGCACGGCGGCGAAGCAGTCCCTGGGGATCCACCTCGTCCCCCTCTCCCTCCGCCGCGCCATCAAGCGCTACCTCCGCGGTAACCGATAGACGCGCCCCGCGCACCACCTGCTCGACTGATTGCCTCCCCTGCTAGCTAACCCCCTTTCGCTCACGCAGACCAGGACAAGGCGCACATGAACCGCAAGGTGCTGCTGCTCTCGGCGTCCTTCGACCGCGCCAAGGGCACCTGGCGCCGAGCTCGCCGCGGCCGCCACCCGCGGCGCGCTCCTCGACGACCCCAACGCGCCGTCGGGCGCCGAGCAGCGGGCGGCGCGCTGGAAGGTGCGGTCGGCCTACGGCGATATCGGCCTCCGGTACCGCGAGGACGAGACAGTTGCCTACGTCGCGTCACGCATGCCAGCCATCTACGCCGCGTGCCACCGCGTACTGCGCGAGGTCGCTACCATCAAACCTCGCTGCTGTTGCCGTCCTTAATGAGCTGAGTTTATTTAATGTAGCACGTTCATGGACCGGTTCGTGGGCTTTGCAGGTTAGACGGAGGTTGCCAGAATTTGCGCCTGCCAAGGTGTTGGATTTTGGTGCCGGGCCAAGCTCAGCGCTCTGGTAATTATGTCCTGATTTACATCTGTTACTGCTGTTTTGTTTACAGGCTTAATATGTCTATGAGAATGCAGGGCAATGAGGGCAGTGTGGCCAAAATCAATAGAGAGGGTTAACCTGGTCGAGCCTTCCAAGGAAATGCAGAGAGCAGGGCAGAGTCTTCTTGACAGTAAGCTTAACTCTCACTTTTGCTTACCTGTTTGGATTCATATTCGATTGTCCAATTGATTGGCTGACTCTCAGGTGGCTCAAACTGGTATATGTGTTGATACTTGCAAGCATGGGAATTTTAGGCTTACTGTAAATAATGCAAATGATAACACAGCCACTGACCGTGCGCCATAAAGTTATATAAACCCCACAATGTAAATCTGAGTCTTGCACTTCGATCTGGAAAAGTTCATTATTATTTTTTTCTTACATGACCATGGTGCTACTTCAGTGTCATACACTTAAAAATGTTAGTTGCTTTATTCATTTTTTTAATTTGTGAACTCTGGAATGAATGCTAATTATTACTGTTTATGTGGCAAATGTTTATAGATTTGAAGGGGTTGCCACTTATTCACAGCTATGACAGCATCCAAGAGTTGAACCGCAAAATAGAAAAACATGAGCGAGGCCACGATCTTGTAGTATCAGTAAGTTATATTTACTGCTTTGTGGAATTACTTCAGATCAACAAGTCATTTTTATCCAGTTTATTTTTGGTTGGTGATTGTAATGTTTCAACCTTTATTGAATACTGTCTTCCTTCAACCTACAGTCTTATGCACTTGGCGAGATTCCTTCTTTGAGTGACCGAATCACAATAGTGCGCCAGCTTTGGGACCTGACAAGTGATGTTTTGGTATAATCAAACCTCCACCCATCTCAATATAGCTGCATATGTGTGGGTGATAATTTTCAGTTACTTGTTCTGAAGAAAATAATGTGTATGTTTAGGTTTTGTTAGAGCCTGGAACACCTCAAGGAGCAAAGATCATAAGCCAAATGCGCTCTTATATCCTTTGGATGGAAAAAGAGTATGCTCCACTCACTCAGTGTGTCTACACAAATCTTTCACGTGTTCCCTGGTTATGTACCAGTTTATTTACATAAGTTTTGTGTTCTCCAGAAGTGTCGCAAAATTGAAAAATCCTCAAGCCGTCCTCCAAGTAGCATGAAGAGCATTGTTGCACAAGAAGCCTCGTTGAAAAATGGTTCTTTTGTGGTTGCCCCTGTAAGTTGGAAGCAGAAATACTCATTTTATTTATTATTTCTCCAGTGCTACTATTTTCAATTTCGTGAAAGGGCCTGTAGCCTAGTGGTTCTAGTGCCTTAGTAGCACGCCAGTGGCCTGGGTCCGACTCCCCATGGGAGTGAATTTCTGGGGCTGGATTGAGAAAAATACCCTTCGTCCCCTGCTGTTCCAGGGATATACGTAACCTGCAGGCATGTCCTAGCTACTCCTGGACATATTCCCTTTGTAGGCAGGGCCTTCGGGGTGTTTTCTAGGTCCTGCGGCGACAAAGTTTTTTCTTTTATCAATACCTGGGGTCGTCTTCTCCCCAGGGCTGAGTTTTTACTAAATTTCAATCTCCATCCCAGTGTCCTCATGATGGTCGATGCCCTTTGGAGAATTCAGACAAGTACTGCCACTTTGTCCAGAGATTGGAGAGGACATCATCTCAACGTGCCTACAAGGTCTTCATCTTTTTCTTGGTTATTTGCTATGCTTTGTATGAGAAACAATTTGAATGTCTTACATGATCTGAGTCATTAAAAGGAGTCAAAGACTATCATGGTCCATGCACCACAGATAAAAGATGTTGTACTGTTGCTTCGTGCTTGCTTTTCATATAATATAGACGTTCATGCATATGCTTTTATGCTCCAGCGAAGATCACACAGCTTTAAGCAGTATGAGTCGTGGTAATGTCTGATGCAGGATCCAGAGGGTGTATTAAAATGTGTGCTTTACATTTTTGGGTACAGCATCAGAATACTCTTTTGAATTTAGTGTAGGCATCTGAAAATATTTTGACCTATTAACAAGACTATTGAACTATGTAGCCATTAGTTTTCTTTATCTCCCTTTTCTTTATATTTGCTGCAGAGGTCAAAAGGTGTGCCTTTACGTGGTTTTGAGGATGAAAAATTTTGCTATGTTGCTTTAAGAAGAGGCAAGCGGCCAGAGTAAGAGCTTGAAGTTCATATTTTCCTGATTATTTCTTGATCTAAACATTCATTTGTATTAGTGCATTTTGTTTAAGTTTGCAGGTGATCCTGCATGCTTATGTTCAACTTTAAGTAAGATTCCCTTCTGTATAATAGGGAAGCTTGGCCACTTGATGGCTTGAACTTTGAGACACTTAAAGAACGCCATGCCAAGAGAAAGCCAGAAGATCTTATCATTGACTATGGTAATATTTATTCATGATTATTCATCGAGTCCTTTGTATTTGTGGTTTCTGAAAATCATGTTTCTGGTTCCTGCTTTTTCTCAGACGATCAATTTCCAAGCGAGGAAGATGAAGAGGTTCCTGTCGATGGTGGGGATAGTCTGGTACCATATGCATCAGATGAACACGAATTAAGTCTGTTCCATGACAGTGAAGAAGCAGAGGAGGAGGACCAAACGATCCGTGCTGACCTTGGAGGAGGTTGGGGCCGCATTATATACAGCCCCATTCGAAGAGGGAGGCAAGTACAAATGGATGTATGTCGTTCCACCAGACGGGACGCATCCGAAGGCGCTTTTGAGCGTGTAGTTGTCACCCGAAGCAAGAACCCTACTCTGCATTTTCAGGCCCGTAGGTCACTTTGGGGCGACCTCTGGCCATTTTAAACTGCAGAATCCTCAAGCTTGGTTAGAGCCATATGGGAGCTCTGAAAGACTGAAACTGTTCAGCATTGGACTCGGTAGGTGAAAACCTCGATGCGATTTCAGTGAATGTTGTGCCAGATGTATCTCAGCGTGTTCTCTAGCAGATGTATATTGCTGGAAAAAAAATCTCTTCAATCTATGAGTATCACAGTATGAACTATAAAAGGATGTGCCAGAATTCCGACTTCTGAGCTTGGGCAAGCTACTCATGGCACATTCTTTGCCTCTTTAACTATTAATGAAGAGTTAAATATAGCATTGTATAATATGAGTAATGTGCATCATAATACTCAATCTCTAAATACGATTCATGCACCAAAATCGGGCCAGCGGGTCAGGCCACGTCGCCCGATAGTCCCCTGGCCGTCCGATCAGATGAACTTGCGATGGCATCCGTCCGACGCTGGATTAGTTCGGGTCTCACCCGTTACCCAAGCCGTTGCGAATGCTTGCGAACCCTAAGCCCGCGAGCACTGATCCGGCCGAGACACGAACCGCCGCCGCTGCCCGTGCCTTCGGCCATTGCTCTCTCCACAATCGCCTTCTCTCCGTGCGGCGCTTCCTCGGCCGCGACTTATCAAGCCCCAGCGCGCAGCATATCGCCCCCTCTCCTAGCAACCTCAGAGACCGCCGCCCCCCTCCCACTCCTCGCAGCCACGGCGATTGCCTACTCGTTCGTCTCAGCCACCACTGCGAAGGCGAGCGGCCGAGCGCAGGCCCCACGGCTAGAATTTTTTAACACTTTTTGTAAACTAATTTTAAATCTAACATTGATATTTTTTAAAAAACTAACACTTTTAGCCACGCCTATTGCCATTGCGCGGCGAAACGTCTGTGCCACACCATGCATGGTAGCGCGGCGGGAGGATGACGTGGCGACGACTGGGGCTGCTGACCAGTGACTTGGCAGGGTTTGCCGCGCCACGGCGCATGGCGCGGCCACCTTTGACACGGAGAGACGAATGGTCCATGCTTCCATAGAAATAATCTGGCAATTCTGTCGCTTGTGTCACTCGCTTTTTTGGGCCGTCCAATCGCGGGGCTCACACATCATGCCGCGCTCACCTCCGACACGCTCCCCTCCGACACGGGACGGGACTGGACGGGGCGCTGCAGAGCTGTGAGACAGTGGAGAGGGTGGAGATGGCGTACATGGCGGTCGGGCGCCTCGATTTTGCGGGCGGTGATGTGTGCTGCGGTGTACTAGTACTCCTACTCTGTTTTGCGACTAGAGATGTGCATGCTGTGCGCCTCGTTTTTTTTTTTTTGCTGTCTCAAGACCAAGACCACCGGCTAGCCACTAGCTCGGCATGCATGCATGTGCTGATCCGTCGCTATCACGTCACCTCGTCCTTTATACAAATTTATTTCTTTAATAGGAACATATTACATTGTATTGAACAGCATTTTACTATTTCTAGTTAGGTGTAAGTTTTATATTTAATTAGTGTAAATCGATTATTCATAAATGAGAATAGTCAAAATTATTCAAAGAGTTATCGGATCATTTTTTGGCTCTTTTTGGTCTGTCTGTATGTTTTGTCTGTATGTTTTATTTGGTTCCTTTGAAATCTTAAGACATACAGAGAGATAAAAAAGAGCCAAAAAATGATACAGACAAACAAAAAGAGCCGAACACCAATGGCCCATGAGTAGGATTATCTCGAACATCTTCATCGTGTCGTGTCCACTTTCCTTTGGCCTCCCATTCCAACACACCATGCAGGTGCCTTTCTTCTTAAATCTAGTATTCCTAAAAGGTAAGCTGCATGGAAGGAGTGGTAGGAACGTGCATTTCGGGTTTCCTTGTCAGAGGATATGTGGATGGGAGCACAGGTATCGCCGCCACCGCATGGCGACGTTGACGTTTGGACACCGAAGGCATATAGTGTTCTTCCTCAGCATGCCGTCAAAGTGGAGGCGGTGGTGTTGTCCGCTGCCAGGTTCCCAATCCCACCACCACGAGGTGGTGATGACCTCCGGAAGCCAGAGGTGTTCTTTTCTTGATGTTCCATCAATGATTTCGAACTAGAGGGCCTGGTGTTCTCTATTTCCTGTATGCCTCGAAATCCCAATTATACCTAGCAGACTTTTCCAGCCCTTTGGATCGTTCCTCTAGTCTACACTTTGCTGGATGCTTGAAGTGTGTGGGGCTCAATGTTCTTAAAATGGGGAACACTATAGATTTATAAGCAACCGGCAATCATGTTATCTGAAGTACAAGTGGAGGACAAATATTTCCTTTTCTTGTATTACCAATTGCAGTGAAAATATTTTTGTTAGGATCATTTATTGTTAGCCATTCTCTAACTTACCTACTTGACTGCATAGTTTTCATCATATCGAGTCAGCTGAGACAGTCCTTTTCTAACTTCAAAACCATGAATACATTGTACCTCTGGGCACCACATTTTTTTTTGACTATTCTCATTTATGAATAATCGATTTACACTAATTAAATATAAAACTTACACTTAACTAGAAATAGTAAAATGCGGTTCAATACAATGTAATCTGTTTCTATTAAAGAAATAAATCTATATCAAGGACGAGGTGACGTGATAGTGATGGATCAGCAAATGCATGCATGTCGAGCTAGTGGCTAGCCGGTGGTCTTGAGACAGCAAAAAAACAGTCTTGCTGCAACACTACTAGGTAGCTGCACACATGCATGCCTAGCTAGTGGCTAGCCGGTGGTCTTGATCTTGGGACAGAAAAAAACGAGGCGCACAACATGCACATCTCTAGTCGCAAAACAGAGTAGGAGTACTAGTACACCGCAGCACACAGCACCGCCCGCCAAAATCGAGGCGCCCGACCGCCATGCACGCCATCTCCACCCTCTCCACTGTCTCACAGCTCTGCAGCTCCTCGTCCAGTCCCGTCCCAGTGTCGGAGGGGAGCGCGGCATGGTGTGTGAGCCCCGTGATCGGACGGCCCAAAAAATCGAGTGACACAAGCGACAAAATTGCTAGATTATTTCTATGGAAGCATGGGCCATCCGTCTCTCCGTGTCAAAGGTGGCTGCGCCATGCGCCGTGGCGCGGCGGCGCCGTGACAAGATCGGTGGCGCGGCAGACTCTGCCACGTCACCGGTCAGCAGCCTCGGTCGTTGTCACGTCATTCTCCCGCCGCGCCACCATGTATGGCGCGGCACAGGCGTTTCACCGCGTCATGGCAATAGGCTCGGTAAAAGTGTTAGTTTTGAAGGAAAAAACAGTGTTATATTTAAAATTAATTAAAAAAGTGTTAAAAAAATCCACGGCTATGGGTGTTGGCGATGCGGTGGAGGCCACAACACCAGGCGGCCACCACGAGCACCCCCGCAGCGCGCGGCGCAGTCTCACGCCTCACAGCCATCCCCGTCCTCGGCCGCCCACATCGGCGTACAAGAGAGGCCCCAACCCCGGTCTCGGCCGCGCCCCTACCCGTCATCGCTCACGCTCACTCTTGCCGCTTTCCGGTGTTCCCACGTCACCACCGATCCGTCATCCTCTGCGCCTGATGGAGCTGCGGGCGGTGCTGGGGAGGCCGCGCGCCGGTACGTTTTCTAGGCAAGAACCTTTGGTGCTTGGCTCCCAGCGTGGGCCGGCTGGATTCAAACCGCATCGGCGCTCCCTGCTAGCAGAATTTGTGATTCTTTTTTGCTAGCTGATGATCCTGAGAACACAGGCAAACGCACCTGGTGGACATCCAATTCTATTAGAAGGCACTGCTGCAGAATTTGTAATTAAATAGTTCTATTTTCCGCTGCAGGTTAGTAAGCAAAAGCTTCCCTCTTTGGTTGGATCCTCCAAATAATGGAATTCCCTTTGCACATCTGATTTCAAATTCTCGGCTAAACATTAAGCTAATTACGTTGTCTTTACAACCTGAATTGACATGGTTCTTTTCCTTATGTGCCAAATTCAGCCCCCCAAAAAAAAAAAAAATAGTCACGCAGTTATATATGAAAATACGCAAGTTCACGAACATCAATTGTCTTCCTCTAATCTTACCATGCAGGATTGCATGAATCGAAACAGTAAAGAGAGTGCGTGGAATAGGTTCCCAGTGCTACTAATATGCTTACTAAAGTATACTAGGGACAAAGGCAAGGCTTGTTATATGCAGTTCTGACTTTACTATTACCTTCAAGGTTATTCATTTCCTGATTTATAAGGTTGTGTCTTCAGAACTATAACTGCCAAATTATATGAGTACAAATCTAATTTATAAGGCTGTTATGTTTGAATGTATGTCTTAAATTTTTGCATTTATTTCTCAAAATTCTATAGAGATCTAAACGATGTACACAAATTCCAAGTAAATTACAGAAATTAACTGACATTGCCTGGAACATATGATCCCATTTTGATGAGCTTAGCATCTACTGTGTGCTATAAAAAATAGTCGTTTTCAAATAGATACGAGGTTTTACATCTGCTATTTAATTTCACAAAAAAAAAAACACTAATGTTCAACATGTTTGACCAGGTACATCGAGCATGTCCTTCGATCAATTCGTGGTCCACAATTTGAATTCAGAGGCTATATCTTCTGAAAGATATACAGGTGCATATTCCAATCACACTGTATTTCGAGCTCAACCTGTAATTACCCAAGGATTATTTATGCAAGAATAGTATTGCAAAAAAAATGTATGCTGGTATGCAAGAATAGATACATCTCTGTAGTGCCTTTGTCAACAATCTCCAGCACAAAAAGTGATAGAATGTAGTATTAGCTATATTTATTATGTAGAAAATGTTGATTGTAGGGAGTTTAGGCATTATTATCTAGGGTAGCATTTTTTTTCCTTTTTTTTTCTAAAAAAAATGGATTTATTCAACTCTGAAATTAGCTTTATCAATCTGGACATGTAACATTTGGTCTTCCAAAATCTAACGCTTCAGTTATTTATTTCTTTTTCATGGCAGTCACACGTATATATGCTTCAGATATTAACATCAAACATATTC